CTCAACAACTAGTTCACCATTCCAATGCAGTTTTCTTTTTAGTAATTAATGTGTCCATTTCTGAAAATGTGTGGCTTTATCCATCAGACAAATGAGTGAAGACCTTATGATATAACGATGCCCTGGAACTAAAAGCACGTGCTCTTAGAATATATAATTGAGGCCAGTAATTATAAGATTATTTCTGTTATCATGTGAGTTTACTATTTTCTTGTAAGTTCCCTCTGAAATCTTAACACTATTGATTTGAATTTATATATTTGGAGCTTAGTTATGTATCCAAAACCCTGAGTTTTCACCCAATATTTCTGCATTTTTTTCATATTTTGGGTTTTATTAAAATTTTTTCAAAAGATGTACATTTACCTGAGAAAAAGTTTTCAATCACATATTTGAGAAAAGGCTCCATTTAGAAATTTGTATTCAAGTTTGAAATTCTGTTGCATTTGATGTAATATGCAGTTGAATTTATAACTCATTCAGACAACTCAGAATTATATAATATTCACAAAAAATTCATTTCTAGAAGTATATCTATAGGTCAAATTCACTGAAACTTCTGTCTTCAGAGAAGGTATAATAAACTTAGAAAACTTAAATGCTCCCAAATCTGCCAAATCTGCAATTTTCAGCCTATCTTCTATAGTAATTGATGTGATTTGTTTCTTTTTTCTTGTGCTTTATATGTATGTACAATATATTGTTTTAATATTCCTATCAATTAACCTCTTTTTGCACTTCCACTCCCTCCGCTCCCCTTTGTCTTCAGAACCAATCTTCCTCCTAACTTTTGTGTCTTTTTTGTGCAGGTCTTACCCAGTTAACCACACCACCTGCTTTGTGTTCATGATCATAGTGGCCATGCCATATCTAGAAGGCAATATTTCATAATACTCCTCCCTCATCCTCCCACTCTTATAATCTTTCCATCCATTTCTGAATGATACATATCTCAGGACAAGTCACCTCCATCTTTATTTATTTATTATGCTATGTCTCCAATGCCATTATTTGGATTCCATAATAATAAAATACATGGCTTCTAATGCAGTTTTAAAAAGTTTAGTCTTTGAGCTGGACAGCTGTTTATTGAGCATTGCTTCTGTACTAGAAATTGTGACATGCATTGGAGATACTACAATGAATAAAGCAACAAGCTACCTGTAGATAAGAAGATGGTAATTAACTATCTGATTTTCACTGGCTTTGAAGAGATTTGCTCAGTCAGGCAAATTAATGTGCATTGGAATGTATAGTAAAGCCATGTGAATTCAGATAGATTTTTCAAACCTCATCTCATTAGTGCAGAATTGACAAACAAACATACCTTAGTTTATATGTGAGGTTTGGGTTTCAAGGACCCACCTATGATCTTAACTTTCTGGGCCTATTTTAGAGTAACACTATGGGTACTCCAATAACTAGAAGTTTATTTTTCTTATTATATTTCAAATGAATTCATTCTGATTCAGGAATAATTTCTCATTTTTTATTAAATTTTCTTTTAGGAAGTTTACATAAATATGAATAGTGACCTCTCTCACCTCAATTTCCCTACTACTTCTGTGAGTCCTCCTTCTCCCAACAGATTTCTTCCTCATATTCTTGAGGATTTTACTGTTTTTTGACTCACTGAGATTAACCAGGACTGCCTGGATGACCATGGTTTTGGAGCTGTCGGTGGGAGACTGGGTTTAAGGGGTGATGAGCAATAAGCAATAAGTGCTCAATTAAAGCCAGTGGTTTCCCCTCTCCTGCAGTCTATCCATGGGCACATTTAGAGGAAAAGGATACTGTGCCGGTAACCATCTCCCTTCTGTGACGTACTGATAAGATTGTTCTTATTTCTACCAAATTTGTTCTCTTTTTTAAAAAAAAAAACATTTATTTATTTATTATTTTTATTTTATGTGTATGAGTGTATTGCCTGCATGTATGTGAGTGCATCCGTGTTGTGCAATGCTGCAAAGGAAAGAAGAGGGCTTCAGATTCCCCTGGAACTGGAGTTAAGGATGGTTCATAGCTGCCATGTGCGTGCTGGGTATCGAACCCCTGTCCTCTGCAAAAGCAGTCAGTGCTCTTAACCACTGAGCCATCTCTCTGGCCCCAGTTTGTTTTCTCTTATATGTGAAGCCTACCTCTGACTCTCAGTTTGTTTTATTTGAAAGATTTGTTGAAGCTAGGAAAATATGAAGGAGATATCAGGGAGTAGGGGTTCCATTAAGAGAGGGAGGAATGTAGAAAACAGAAGGCTTTTGAACACACTAATTCACAGTTATTTTAAGGTATGGGACAGAGGTGTTTGAACAAAGATTTGTCTGGCACTAGATGAAATGTGAACTTGGAAATTTTGAATAGTTTATTGAGTCATCAAATTTTGGTTCTCAATGAACTCAGAAATAAAGTATTTCACAGGCCTTGAATGGGTACAGATTATATAATTTAGCTAATTCTTCCAAATTGTCAGAAATTAAAACACATATGCTTTATTTGATTTGATTTGTTGTGTTCAATTTCTTTTTATTTTTACTGAACTTTTGTTTATTTCATACAATATATCTTCATCATATTTAGACATATATATATACATATATATATGGCCTCCCCATAGCTTCCCACCATATTTCATGCATTCTGTCATATGTGTTAATGTCTATTGCATCAAGTTTCTGTGGCTAGATGTTCCTCAGTGTGAGGTCATCCACTGGACCCTGGTCAATCTATCTAGTATACCCCTTAAAAAACAAAAACAAAAACAAACCTTTTTTTCACCTAACCTGGCAGTGATCAGCTGCCAATAGTTCCTCAGGTAAGATTCGAGCTTCTTTCCCATTTCCACACCCCTAAGCTGTTTTTTTTTTTTTTTGGTGTTGTTTTTGGTTTTTG